TGCTAAAATATTGGCAACACATTAAGAGTTGATATATCTAGTGGCTAGAAAGCTGAAACAGGCTGTCTCTTTATAAACATGCTGATAACATTCCTACTGCTATCAACCAGCAAAACACTATGGCTGTACAATCAGAGACAGGAGGGAACTGTAGGTTAAATAGGTATACAGTACAAGCCAGAAGTATGCATCCATTGTAAAATTCAAAGTTAAGTGTTCTGTTGAAAATACCTTTTTCTAATGTTTTGCAATGCTGTATTAGTTACTAATTTATGGATTTGCTTTCTTTTATTTTCTTGCTTTCACATTTAGAATCCTGGGAAGTCTAATCATGTATGTCACCAAACCATAGATTATTCATACGGAGAAGTTTGTTTCATCATATTTTGGCTACAAACTCAGTTGTCCTCTATATTGCAGGGAAAAGATCTGTGGCTATTCTTGTGTTTAGATGTCCATAGAAATTCTCAATCATCCAGGTCATGGTTGTCCCATGAGTGTCCCAAAGATTGTTTAAAAGGCAACTGGACTTTCTTGGTGTTTTTCCTTGAAAACTTTGCTTCTCATCCAAGAAGCTTCTTCAGTTCTGGCTGACTAATAAGGAAATGTGTTTTATGTTTTAGATTCCATGGAACTACTGTAGGTTCAAAGAGGTACCTTTTTACGTTTTTTAAAAAATAGAAAGAATTTCAGTGGAAAGTGCAATCCTCAGAAAGTCCAAAGGACATGCTTACATAATCTAAATTCATAATATTTTTTCCAACAGAAGCTAGCCAGATACCTCAGAAAAGCACATGAATGTCTACTTACATTCAGAATTATATTCCTTGAAGATATATGTAGTACGATTTAGCACTCATAGCTAATAGTAAATGATTGCTTGATCTGCCATAAATTTGTCCTATGTTTTTTAAAAAAATTCAGCTCAAGGTTAAAACAAGAAGGTTCTTGAGGTAATCATCACATCTCAAACATAAGAAAGGCAACTACCCTTTGACCGTCTTAAAATTGTGCCTTCCTTTAAAACTATCCATAGCATAATAGAATTTCTGTATAAGAAGGGGGGAAAAAATTGCAGCATTTTCTTGTGTTAAGGTACAGTGGTGTTCCTTTTTTATTGACATTAAGATTTAGTTTAACAGACTTGTCTATTAATTATTATGCAAGCTTGCAACTATATAAATAATAAATTAATATTATCAAATATCAAATATTATAAAGTTTATTTGAAACTAAGATCTGCTGTCTGCTATATAAAGAAAAGCACTGAATTGTAAGCCAAATACCCAGAAATTTCCAGAAGTGAGAAACAGTTTTCTAAGTTAATGGAAAACAAATGACTATAACTTAATAATTATTCAGTTAATCAACCTACTGCCTGTTTTATTGTATCTTATTGCTAAAGTTTGTCTTAGAAATTTATTTTTCCCTCTTTTTTTCTTTTTGTTTTTCCTTATTTTGTTGAGGATTTTTGGATGGAAATAATATTTGTAAACAGGGTAGAGTTGTTTGCAGATTTCAAACAAGATGAGATCCATAATCAGTTTTAATTACCAATATGAAATTATTTGTAAACAAGCAAGAGCATTGCCACTGTGCCAAGGACTAAGATATTTGGAACTTTCAATTAATAACATAATGTGTGGCATGTTAATTGTACATCAAAAGTTTTTTCAGTTCCTTTAAATGGACACAGAATGGAAATATTTCCTTATGTAAGGAAAAGTAAATAGTTGCACAGTATTGGAAAACAGCATCTAAGATTTGCTGAAGTCACTGAATAGTTAATGACGCCTCTGAGCTACTTCCAGATCCAAGACAAAGAAAGCTATAGTTCTGTTCTTATCAGCAGATGTTCTTTCATATTGTATATCAGACTGATTTGATTAAATTAGTCTGTAAAGCTCAAATGAAATATGTTTCCCAATTTTTATTCTGATTTTTTTCCTGACAATCTCTGATAGACATCATAATAAATGGGACCTGTCCACAATAACTGTAAAGTTTCCAAACTGGAATTACATCAGCTCATAGGAACACTTACCTTACTTTGCTGTAAAATTATCTCACAAGAGTCTTTTGTTTGTTTAATGTGTACTTGTACCATTGCATTATAGTTTCTGTATTTTCATGGTGACCTTAGCAGTATGAAAGTTGGATCATAGTGCCCTATCTTCAGGCTCATTTTAAAAGGAATGAAGTTTTCAGTAGAGATATTTTGAAAAGGAAACCAATAGTTTGCCTTACATTAACTTCAAAGCTCATGTCCTTCTTTGTGTACATGTAACCTCATTGTGTTTGTTAGTTTACCCACCAAAGCCCACATGTTCAGGGGTGGTTAACAGGCTTAAGTCAGACCCATGGAATTCCTGAGTGAAGCAGATAATTCCAAACATGTCTACATTAATGTTCAGTTTCTTCATTTTGTAGTTTAGTAGAATTTTCCCATAAAATAATCACAAAATAGCCGAACAGATATATGTTTTTCTCATGGAAATTATTTCCTCTCACCTACACCAAACTGCTTTTAAAGTAGTACTATCACTATCCTGAGACTTTTCCTGGAGGAAATAACATTAATTTGGAATGGTCCAAATTCTGTCAGGCAAAAAAAGCCTATAGGAAAAATAGAGAAATCACTTCTCCCTTGTACTTCATTTTGCCAAAATAAAAAAGAATGAAGATACTAATTACAGGAAAAGCTTGATTGAAGCTAGATCGGCATCTTAAAACTGTTCTGTCTTTTAGATACTTCAGAATCCACTTCAAAAGGTACTTCAAAACATCCCTTGGCAATCAAGTCCAAAAAGCTGAAGAGCCTAAAAAATGAGATATTCTGTGCAGCGGTGGCATTCAAATATGTGAACAACTGGTTCTCTGTGTGGATGCCACTTCCAGAAGTCCATTCTGGGCCTGGGCAACAAAAAATTAGCTACCAGTTCTGCCAAAGTGATGCAAACTGGCTGAATCTCATCACTGATTCTGTGATGGCCTCCCTGGACACCAGTTTGGACGAGGAGAAAGAGCCAGTCCCAGGGACTTTGGAGGAGGGAGCAAACTTCTCAGAGCAGCATCAAGAAGTTGCCAAGAGCTCCAAGCCAGGAGTAGAGAGGCCAGGCTCAGTGGAGAGGTTGACGGAAGAGCAAACAGACAAACAGCCAACTGATGAGAAAAAAGAGAGGCACAGCTGCAGCTGGAGACACCAGAAGCCCTGTGGGAAGACCAAGGAGGAAGAAGGTGCACAGCTGCAGGTGGTCAACAGAGATGTGGAGGAATTGCCTCCTCCACCTCCTCCACAAATATGCAGGACTCAGAAGAGGCAGGCACAATGAAGGTCAGTGGGGCTATTTGTGAGGCAGCAGTCTCACACCTCCTGTTTAGCTGCACTGGTCAGTAGCTATTTAATCCATTACATGGAGCATAATATCACTGGGAAAAACTCATCACTTTCTCTCAGTGCATTCATTCAGCCATGTCATTCTTGCCACGGATTTAAATATTGACTCTGCTACTGGACTTGAATGCTGTTTTTGGACTTTGGACTTGCTTCTTTGACATTTGACTTGGATTTTGATTTTGATTATTTGTACTCAGACAGTGAAGTTGTCTTTGTACTCTGAACCTGGTAAGGAGATTTTATCAGCTTGGAGTTGATGAAGCCCTAATAAAACTTCAACCCTTGGGGGGAGGCGTGTGTGGAGCATTACAGGACACATTCTTTAATAATGAGTTTTAATCCTGCTGTATGTTATTTTTCAACATTAAGAAGAAATTAATTTTAAAATGGATTATTGAAGAATAAATCTGAGGAACAACTTGGCTCCAGTTGAACTTTGGCATTTTAAAAACTAAAATTTTAGAACAGGACCAAGGTATTAAAGCAAGGATGTCAAGTTTGCAACATCATGTGATGTGTTGTGATGTATCGCAACTTTTTTTCCATTGCTGGCAATGGGGTGGGTGCGGTTTTGCCATGATGTATCCAGCCCATGGGCCGGCAATTTGACACCCCTGTATTAGAGTAATTTCCTTGCAGATTACATTGCAATAGGAGAGAAGCACAGTAATAAAGGATTTTTTTTTTTGAAGCTTAATTTCACATGTCATTATGTAAGGCTGTATAAAGGATTCTTATCTGAGATTCAGGAAAGCTGCAACAATGGTCAATAATTCCGAAAATGATAGTTGTTGTACCAAGCTACCAAGTCTACCACTTGAAGACAACATAACACAGAAGGTCAGATAAAAGCTTCCTAAACCCTTCTTCTCTTATTTCAAAGGAGGGCACCTTCATTTCCTAGTAATCCATATGTACAGAATTAAGCTTGATAGGCCAATGCTTTGATAAAGACCATGCCTTGTTTCCATTCATCCAGTCATCACAAACAGTGTGAAGTCAACCTGGAATTGACTTTACTTCTTCAGTTCTCTAAATGCTGATAACAAACAGAACTCCATGATCCAATCAATATTCAAAAAGCATAATTTAATTGGCACATCTCCTTCTGGGGAGGAGACAAGGTCCCTTTAATCTTCAAGATCATTCCTACATACCACTACAAGATCCAGCGAGGAAAAATCTTCAGTTCTCAAAACATTAGCAATATTGTTGATTAGCAATATTGAGACAAGGTTGAACTTGGCTCCAGATTAGAGTGGAAAGGACACAAAGATGCTTCTCCAAATGGCAACTGGACTTCCTTGGTTTTTCCATGACAACAACTCTCATCCAAAAAGCTTCTTCTTCTTGGATGAGAAATGAAACATTTTCAAAGAAAAAAAACAAAAAAGTCTAGTTGTCTTTTGGAAAAGTACCTTTGGGACAATCATGACCTGGGTGATTGAGAAAGAACACAATGATTTTTCCTCTTTTTTCTCCTTTTTATGATAAAATATCATATATATTTTGTCTGATGAATAGCAATGTTTTTTTAAAATCAAACGATATTATATCAATACAAGCTCACAAAATTCATCAACAAAAGCAGTAAGTGCTTAGCAAGTTTTCATAGCTGTTTATTCATTATAAATAGTAAATATTTACTGCGCTTTTTTAATATGAGATTTTTTTTTGTTTTTACAACACATATGTTGTTGATAGAGAATGTAACATAAAGATAGTATTTTGTTCAATCACTCTTTAAGACCGATGTGTGAACTAAATTCTATATCACGGGTGTCAAACTCACCACATCACATGACATGTCACGACATATCACGACTTTTTTTGCATTGCCGGAGCTGGGGTGGGCATGGCATCCATATGATGCAACCAGCCCAAGGGCTGGCAGTTTGACACCCCTGTTCTATATGATATCCTAGTTCTACTAAATTACTAATTTCATTGAACTGAACGCTAAAAGGAATGAATTTGTGCTCTACCTCACTCGCCATTCCAAGAATAAAGAAAAATAAATAACACTGCCTGCCATCTTCCTGTCCCTCCTAACATTTCAAAAGACAAATTTATTGACATTTGAAAATGTCACAATGCAAAATGTATGTAAACCTTAGTTTCCACTGAATTATATAGGATGCAATTGTATAATTTAAAATTACATAACAACTACAGAGACATAGTGATTTATGCCCTGTATTTTCTAGAAATAATGTAAACATAAGCATTTTAAATGTAGTATCTTCCCCCCAAAGTCCCCTTTGATCTAATGGAGATCATCCAAGCAAATTGTGACACCTCTACATACTAAAAGAGTGAAATATGTATTGTAAAAATAAAAGTACTTGGAAAAAATATAATTTCAATTCTATATATAATGCCTTGGATGCTGCCAAAGCTTGGTGAGGTACGCCATATTGCACATTGTTAAGCAGTCATAGAAATTAAAGTTATTCTGTATTTTTGCTTGTTTCTTTCAGGAGGTAACATGGACTAGGAAAATTTCAAACACAAACAATCTTGCAAAACTTTTCTTCATGTTACAAAATAAGTCATTTGTTGTTATGAAGAAAAGTTCTTTTGTATGTGACACTTAGCAACAACAGGATTACAAAAACAAGAAGATAACCAATAACTTATTTGTGGAAGTCTCCAAACATCTAGTCTAGCATCCTACAGACTTTAACATTTCCTTTCAAGGTCATTTTCCAGTGTGTTAAACAAGGTTCTTCAGCCCATGCTTTGCAAATTGGGCACTGTCAAAAGTCGGCACTGAAAGTTTCAAAAAAATGTTCTAATTTTGCAGCATTCAGATCACAATGTCCAAGTTAATCCATGGATCTTCATCAGTCTAAAAATGGAATGCTTACTTCAGCCCAGCAATGTGAAAATGTTTATTATTCTTATTTGTTCTTAGCTAATGCCATAGTGAACTGAACTCTTATTTGTGATACTGCTTGTGGTCTTTATTTTCTGAGCTGCTTTACCCAATCTGTTCAAACACCTTATTGAAAGCACTGATGAGAAAAGAATAGTCCCATTTATCACTAGTACGATCTCTGCATTCTGGGCCTCATTTTGTGTGAGAAGATTGCTCCATTCCAAATACTGGAATGAGACCAGGACCAAGACCAACTTTAATGTGAAATGGACCATTCACTTATGCAATATCTGGCTTCAGATAATGAAAGGCACCTGTAAAAAATAAAAAAAAGAAAGAAAGAAGAAGCATAATAAGCTTTTAAAGTCATGCTATGACAACCTCACAGCAAGGGGCAGTGTCAACTACAGGTTGACATTGTCATATTTAATACTGATATATCAAAGGAAAGGGACTAATATGCTTATTCTTAGACAAGTTTGACAAAACTCTATGTATCTGGGATTATATACTATAATGATTCTTGAGCTGACCTCATTAAGAACATGTGTTTCTAATAGTGGAATGCCAGTGGTTATTTCATTTTGGACAACCCCTCTGTTTTACCTAATGGCAATCAGGTTTCATGTCTCAACAATTAATAACATCAAGATGTTGTTGACATCACTTTAGAAAATAATTATGCAGCAGAAATGTTGCTGAAATAATTTACCGTCATTGTAGTAAATGTATCTAACTGTACAATAGGAAGAAAATACATTTTATTTGTTTTATTCCAAGCAAATATTATATTGTATTATTAAAGATAATGTGTATCAAATATATCTCTTTTACTAATGTGTATGCATTTTATGGTTTGAGAAGCATCATGACCCCATCAAGTTTTAATAGAATTTGATTTTTTTAAAGTAACATGTTTCCTATCTCTTACATTTCAGTACAATGGTGAAATTCTTGTTGCTATATGCCACAGTCTTTATTATAAGATCTGGCTACCCATCAGATTTTGTTGAGAAAGATATCACTTTCCTTCCTTTCTCCAAGCCATTGCTGGATTACATTTTTAATCCCACAAACAATATAGAAAGCTGGTTAGGAAACAGCAAGGTCACTGAAAATACAATAGTTTGCTCATGCACACAGCATCCTCCAAATCATCAAGAGATACATCAAGACAGCCTTCCCCAACTAGGTTTCCTACAGAGATCCTGAATGGCAGCCTCCACCATCACAGCTAGCATAGTCAACATTACCTGGGAATATGTTAGCTAGGATTGGTAACTGTTCATCCAAGTTATTTGAATATGGCCAGGCTAGGAAAGGATTGATTAAGGCATTTTATCCAATGTGGTCAAGACAATATAAGTACAATTTTACTGATCTGGTTAAAGGCTAAATTTTGAGTATCCATGGGGAAAGAAGGAAGGGGAGGCTAATCATACAAGCACCTTGAATAAATACTTGTTAAGATATCTTGACACAAGTATGTAATCACATAATTTACACAATTATATCATTGTGTTGTCATCATTTTGGCATCATCGGGTTTCCTGCAGATGTTGCTGGGTTGAACTATACTTATCTGATCATCACCATGTACAGTAGAAAGGACCAGCCTCTAAATATAATCAGTCCAGATCTAACCTCCCACAGGTTTACGGCTAAATATTTTTCATAATTTGACCATAAATTGCTCCAACCTTTTTTCTAACTGCTTAAGGCGGTATGCAAAGTTCTCCTGCCTTCAATTTTAGCTCAACAATACTGACTTTGTTGGGGCAGACAATCGAATTCTGCTACTCAGTTAGGTTGCCCAGCCAAAGAGAGTTTTGAACTTGGTTTCTCCCAGTCCAAACCAGCACCTTAATTGCTCTGCAGTTGATGATTGTTCATTGTTTGAATGATTAAAAAAAACAGAATCTATGATAAAGACATAGATTCCAGGAACACACATACATTGTTGATGACTTAATACTCACTTTGTCCATATTGCCCATACTGATAGCCTGGGACAGGATCCATACTGTAAGCAGTAGTGCTGTATGTTGGTGGGCAGTATGACTGAGATGTTGGCAGGCTATCTAAACTTTTCATGTGATCTAGTCTTTGACTACAGCTTGCAGATACTGTGGTGGTTGGCTCTAAACCCCCAGTTAAGGGTGACAAGGCGTAGTCAGTTTGGGGTTGGTGAGGGACTCCTCCATGGTTAGTTAAGAGGCCCATTACCTAAAATAAAAAAGAAAAGGAGAGAAGGTGAGGTTAAGTGGTAGAAAAACTATATTTGAAGCAATCCACAAATTACTTTATTATTTTTGTATCTATTACTTGATTTCTGTATAGACACATCACATAAATGTCAGCAATAACATATAACTGGCATTTTATTCTAATATACAAACATTCTGTATTTGATCCCAGAAAATGTCTTCTTTGGTTTTCTAATGTGTGATCACAATGACATCTTTTATATGTAACCAAATGAAGTTTTCACCAAGATTATTTTTAAGTACTAATATTCTATAATGTTAGTACTTTAAAATTTTATTATTTTATTCTTTATTGCTCTGTAAAAAAGAAAAAACATTTGTTTAACTGGTGGAATCTGGTTTTCCCATTAAAGAGTATATGTTGTTTTCCAGTCACATGGTAGCAGATGCCCAAGCTGTAAAAACCAGTGTGTGTCCTGATCAAGATCAATATTGTGCATATTATAACACAGATACAAACCTTTCCGGTATTTTATATTCTCACACAACAAAGAAGGACCAAGCACAGCCGTTCTGGCCCCACTCTTTTGTTTCCCATCCTTGCCTGTTACCTTGTGTTGCAGACAAAGATGCTTGTCTGCTGCCAATGACATCCTTTAAAATGCTACACAGGGCAAAAGAACAATAATACCAGCAAAGAAAAGACAGCATCAAATCTAAGCTACAATTTTCTTTAAACTTGATTGAGAAATTATGGCTTTAAATTTACAAGGGAAACTAAAACCAGTTGCAAGATCAAAGGTAGTCAAAAGAACTAGAAATGCCCTGTGGAGGTTCAAAGAGAGATGTGTTTGGTTTGGTTGTTTTAATCAACAACCTCCCAAACATTTAGACAACAAAAGTCATTAGCTGTAGTGTATTTTTATTGTTCTTGAACATTGAACTGAAAATCCTTTTCTTTAAATCTCTAATGTGCACTGCAAGGCCTGCATAATGCATACTTTGCAAAATACTCACACACACAGTATATAGTACATATACATATAGGTATATATATATACAGGTTTAGTAAATAAAAGTTTTAACATTTTTATCATTTTTATTCTCTTCGACTATTTATTGATTTTAATATATATATATATATATATATATATATATATATATATTATATATATGTAGGTCTTTGGTTATTCGGGTTTTCTCCCACATAAAATTGGAAGTGTCTTGGCGACGTTTCGGCGAAGTCTCATTCGTCATCTTCAGGCTGGTGCTTTTGGCTTCGTGCTTCTAGGAACAAGAAGCCAAAAGCACCAGCCTGAAGATGACGAATGAGACTTCGTCGAAACGTCGCCAAGACACTTCCAATTTTACGTGGGAGAAAACCCGAATAACCAAAGACCTACGTACAAACACCCGCGAAAACCTCAGAAATATATATATGTTTTCTGAGGTTTTCGTGGGTATTTGTATGTAGGTCTTTGGTTGTTCGGGTTTTCTCCCGCGTAAAATTGGAAGTGTCTTGGCGACGTTTCGACGAAGTCCCATTCGTCATCTTCAGGCTGGTGTTTTCAGCTTCGTGCTTTGAGCAGCAAATCGAAACGTCGCCAAGACACTTCCAATTTTACGCGGGAGAAAACCCGAACAACCAAAGACATATATATATATATATATATATATATATATATATATATATATATATATATATATACACATACACATGCAGAGAGAGAAATAGATTATAATTTATATTATATTATATTATACTATATTATATTGTAATCATTGTCTTATGTTAATCATATTATTGAACATGCACCACAGCACTTCTTAAACTTTTCAAAATCATGGGACACTTTTGTTTTATATTAATGAGGAAACCCTATGATTTTTAGAGTAGCTTGTTTTGCAGAAAACAGGTATGAATTTGCAAAAATAATTGAACCATCTACTTTCTTGAGCACTTTAGCAAGTTTACAATACAATATTAAAAATATCCATAAAATTATTTTAACCTCTAAAAATGTGTTGTCTTTTTAACACAACTGTCTCTTCTCAGAAAAAGCCCTGTAGAAGAGGAACATCTTCAACTGTCTTTTTAAAGAATAAAGAATGGATGTCATCAATGGTAAATTTGATTTATAATGTGTAGTTATGACTGAGGATACTGTTTTCTGATTATCCATCACCATAGTATCTCTAGGAGTAGAAGCCTCTATAGATAGCTAGTTTCTGTAGTATGGACAGATTTTATCTGGAGAAGAATCTTGAAGATGGTGAGGCTAACATTATCATAGTTTCTCTGAAGCTACAGAAATACAGTTAGCAGATGTTATAGACAGTGATTCAGGCATTTTTTCTTAGATAGGAAGTTAGGACCACACTGAGTAGATGAAATTTTCAATTGGACCCTTCACTGTAAATGAAAATCACCAGAGTTCATTCAATGGCTACAGCCTTACTGAACTTGGAATAAATCCCTGTATAAACTCACTGGAATTTTGTGAGTTGCCCGATAAAAACTTTTGCCTTACATGATATAAATGCAAGCAGCTGGTATACAACTTCAAAGTCCAGCGATTCAAAAAACAACAACCCTAATCTACAAATGCTGTTTACTCTCTTTTTTAAAAAGCAAAATAAAACAAACAATAATAAAATCCCATCCTAAATGTCGCAAGCCTGTTAATATTCAATAGATGTAGTAAATTAATTTGGAAAACAGCTGTTGAATTCATAAATTCCATTTACTACTTTCACTAATTAGATTTAATTACATGAATTCCCCAGTTGATACACTGGAAAAGAACACGATTTTAATATTTTTCCTCTACAGGGCTTTGAGGGGGGTATTGTGTTAAAAACCCAGGAATCAGAGATTTTTAAAAAATGTTATACATTTTATGGGTATTTTTAATATACTATTGTTAACTTGCTATAGTTGCTCAAATAGGCAGAATGCAAATAATTGCAATTAAATAAGTATGTCAACAGTTTCCCCCAAATTTAATTTTGCAAGTTATTATAACTCTGCAATTTTAAGCTCAATGAATATACCACAATTTTTAGGAGGTCAAATTTTGCTGACTCAAACTAATTTTATAAAAAGCTAATTTTATACTAAAAAATCAAGCAGAATTTACATTTTCAATCCATTATTTTTGAATAAATCTGTAGTTCTGCCTTTTATTGTGTGGCCTTTCAGTATGCCAGTATTTCTTTTGAGTAGCTTTGAGTGGTATTTTGGTCCATAATATCTGTGTGGGGTAGAGTAGAATTATGCTTTAAAAGACTTCATTCAATTTAGCAAGATATTACGATGGTCCTCTTTTCTGTTCTAAGCTTTGTAGTATTTGGAATTCATATTTCATTTGTAACAGGGATTACTCAGTTCCAGATTCTTGACAGTCATTTTAAAATTTGCTTCCATTTTGTCTAAATTTAATAAAAATACAAGCAGATTAAATTAAATTAAGTTTTAATCATTATTATCAAGTATAGGTGTTATGCAGTAGCTTTGAGGATAAAAAAAAGTGACATCACTACTAAACTGGACTGTTTCAGAAATATCTTCAGAGGCTTTCAGACTTGTGCTGCAGTTGATTAGCATCTAAATAATTAGATTTTTGGGTCCATGCTGTTTGAAAGTCATAAGGAAAGTAGCCTAAAGGCAGAAACTCTGCCTTGTGATATGTGTCATGACCTTATAGCACTGGAACAAGGAGTAACTGAAAGGGCACTGTTGGCTTTCACCTAAATGCTTGGGCTAATGGAGAACTTATTCTGAGACACATTTAAAAGTTTGTTTTCCCAAGGAGTCTACAAGGGATAAATAATATACACTATGCTTCCCCAATGAGGTATCTTCCAACGGCACCTGCAGTTTTCTTCTTTCCCATCCCAACCAGTATAGCATACAAAAAGACATTTCCAGTTCCTGCATTTTCTAGTGATATAAATTCAGCTGTAACAGATTCTTTTTCTAAGGTTGTGCCTTTTCTGGAAAAAAATATATCAGTGCAATTTAGTTTACTGTTATTTTACAAATACGTGAAAGTGGCAAAAATAGGTGTCCTCAAGTTTGACTCCTAGTGAAAGCATCCATGCGGTTTTCCTGGCAGCAGTATAGAAGCTCTTTTTCCCACTCTCTTGTTGTGGGATTAAGTTATCTATTTATTTGCTTCCTAGTCTGGTCAAAAGTCTTAGCCTTCAGAGATAGTCCCCATCCAAGTACTAACTAGGATAGAGTTCACTTTGCTTAGCTTCCATGGTCAGTCAAGGCCATCTAAGTGCTGCCACCTACTGAGATTTATAAAAAATATGAATGGGGAAGAGGTGTCTTTACATTATTTACTTATTTGTTAAATTTATTTGCCACACTTTTCGCTGTGGGGCTACTTGAGCTTGACATGATTCCCAAGGTTCTTACTGCTGCTGTGGTTGGTTTTCTTTTAAAAATTGTATTGTTGAAAAGCAGACTTCTGCATTCATTATATTAAAGTGTTATTTTAGCAAATCTGATAGAAGAAAGACCATACTATTTTGAAGTTCTTTTAAGGCAACATTGTTTTATGTATATTATATGCATCATACATTTTAATATTAATCTTCTTTGAACTTCCAAGTATAAAAGAAAAAGAGAAACAGATATGAACTAAATCTATTCATGTGTTAGCTGTTTGGAATATGGATTCATTCCTGTTAACTGCTTCAGAAAGAAGGGGGCGGAGAAAACCTCAGAAGTTCAGTCTAACATGGAGTTTATTTGTTTCCCTGACAGACTTCATTCAGTTTTTGTTTACATATCTGTGTAAATTTCAGCTGAATCAAATGTATTATTAAATTGGATTCTACTGAAATTAGATGAAAAGTGAAAATTGTGTCCCTTTAATCAAAGATCAAACTCTTTGATTTATGTAATTTTTATGTAACTGAAGCAAAAAAGTAAAATGAAATATTTCCAATGCAGCAGCAATTTTTCTTCACAGATAATACCTATATATTTATTATGTTTATTAATTA